TGTTGACCAGGAGATGGGCGAGGAGGCGGCCGACGAGGAAGTCGCCCGCCTCGTGGCCGCGTACCTGGTCATGGGCTGCGTCGCCGTGCGGTACCGCAGCGACGGAGAGGTCGAGCTCGAGTGGGAGGGCAACATGCTCAACGACGGTATTGCTGACGCCGTCATGGCGTGTCTGTTCTCCATCGAGAGCAGTCCCGCAGCAGTAAAACGTACGCCCCCCCCCCCCCCCCCCCCCCCCCCCCCCCCCCCCCCCCCCCCCTCCTCCCTCTCCCCCCCCCCTCTCCCTCTTCCTCTCCCCCACCCACCCTCCCCCCACCCCCCCCCCACCACCCCCCCCCCCCCCCCCCCCCCAGCCCCCCCCCCCCCCCCCCCCCCCCCCCCTTTTTTACTTGATAATTATGGATTTCCACGTCTGCAGAAGTTTCTCTTACAGTTCGCTAACCACTCACTTATACGTACTCAGGCTCCGCGGCTTCCCACAGCCACGACCACGACCACGCCCCCAAACCCCTCCCCAAAAACCCCCACGCAAACGTCCCAGCGACAGAACGCCTCGAGCGCTTCCTCATGTTCCTCGAAGCCCAGTTCGGCGCCGACAACGTCAACCCAGTCGCCGAACCCCGTCTCCCGCCGCAGCCCGAGGACGAAGCAGCAGCGGTGACAACAAAGGCAATCAAGTCCGACGACGCCAGCGACGCGTCCATGGACGTGTCCGAGGACGACGCGGAGGCGGAGCAGGAGAAGAAGCTGGAGGCGCGGCGCCGCGCAGAGATTGAGCGCCTCATAAAGCTCGGCATCCCCGTGCCGGGCATTCGTATCAAGGTCGACAAGATGGAGGCTGTCGTCTGGTTGGAGGATCTGGAGGTGGAGTGCAGTCACAAGGCTTTTGCCGACCGTGTGAGACGTGTCTGCGAGCACGCTGCCGAGGTCACGGCCCCGCTTTGGGGTTAAGAGTTACTACGAGATTTTTTCCCATGTTGGATGCAGGGTGTTCATTTCACGGCGTTTTACACGCTATCATGTAGTATAACCACCACACTCACGACAATCATGCGGGCAGCCTGGCACGTTTAAATACTTAATGCTCTAGTGCATTGAGCTATGTTACAGAGGGACTAAGGTTACAATGAAAAACAAAATGCAGTAAATCACACTCTTGGAAAACCTCCAGCTGAAGTTTCTTAACCGAGGTACTCCTTCAGTTCTTCCGACTCTTCTAACGTCGTAGTGAAAGAGAACGGCTGGAAGGCCCAACCGGCAAACTCTGCGAACTTGGAGAAGGACTCGACCCAAGCCAAACGAAGGGAGTGCAACATGGCACTGGTACCTTCCATCATGACCAAAATGGCAATGGCTGAGTGTGCTGTTAGTAGATGTCGAGAAGAGAGGGGAGTATCGCAACTTACTCAGGAAGAACCACATGTAGAAGACCACGACGATAGCGATAGAACCAAAGATGCCAGAGAAACCAAGAGCAGGTCCAAGGGTCATGGACCAAAGGACGGAACTAAGTTGTTGATGGGCAAGTGACAAGGCCCAGAGACGAAGGTACGAGGCTGTGTGGGAAACGCAGTTCAAGCAGAATTCTGTAGTCATCGTTAGTTTGATTTTCATGTTAGGTGTTGGCTTTCGTATTCCTTACCGATGGTGTGAATAATCTGGTGAATCATTACTTCGCTGAACTCAAATTCCTCGTGCTCGCCATCACCGTGCAGGTCCTGCGTGATCATAGCAACGCCTTCGCCATCAGACTCGAAGCTGGGGCGGCCGTTGAGTCCGTGGTCCTCGTCATCGTCGCCGTCGAGGGCACTAACGCGAGAGCTCTCTCCAATGCCCCTATAACCCTTGGCGCGAGCGTGGTTGTGCTCCCAGCGGAGCCAGAAAGGCTTCAGGAACAACAGAATCGGGACTTGGATGACGGCCAATAGCAGGAGGAAGACCTGGACAGTGGCCTGTCCGGGGTAGAGCTGCGCGCCTTCCTCGAGCTTGCCGGGCTGCAGGAACATGTAGATCAACATGTTCAACAGTCCAGGAGGGTTGCGGGGGTTCTGAGGGTCGCTCCAGTTGACGGACCACTTGTAGAGAATACACATGACGAGGTAGCCAAAGATGGACTGGAAAAAGATCATGCCAGGGACGAAGTTACCCCAGATATCCACCGGTTTCTTGAAGTGCTTGGCGTTGACGTAGGCGAAGATGAGGGAGTAGGTCATGTGGGCCCAACCCAGAACGATACTCATCTTCATCTTGTAACTGTTGCTGAAGAGAAGGTCGTTGTCTGTCTCATGCCATCTCCAGTCCAGACCGAAGGGGTAGCGGTAACCGTGGTCATTGAGCTTACCAGTCAGAGTCTGAGGAGGCTTGTAGTCGTCGGGAACATCCCACTTCCAGGCACTGTCGAACAGCGTCAGAGACTTGGAGAAGACATCGTTGTAAATGAGACCGGTGAAGAGGGAGAAAAGACCCATAACCAAGGCGATGTATCTTCCGTAGTAGAGCATAGCGAACAACTCGAAAGTGACCTTCTTGAGAGGCTTTTCCCAGTAGATCATGGCGAGGGCGGCAGAAACCATGATGACGGCGTGCCCAAAGTCACCGAACATGACAGCGAAGAGGAAGGGGAAGGTAACAATAACAGGCAGTGCCGGGTTGACCTCCTGGTAAGTGGGAGTACCGTAAGCGTTGACAATAGTTTGGAACGCCTCAGTAAACTTGTTCGTCTTGATGTACGTAGGCGGAGTCTTGTTGGTGCGGATTTCGTTGATGATGGAAGGCACCGAGAGTCCAGCTTGATTCGTAACGTTTTGCAACGTAGAACGAATCAGCGGCAGGTCGTTCGTCGGGCACCAACCCTCGGCAATGAGAGTCCTGCGAGCACGATCGTACGAGAAGTTGTTAAGCGTGTTGTAAACGGCTTTCTCCTTGGTGACCAAGACCATCCAAGCTGACAATGCCTGAGAGATCTGGGTGAGCTCAGCGTTCAGGGTTTGCTGGGTGTTGCGGAGAACGTTCTGAACATCGTTAAGGCGAGCGTTGACCTCGTGGATCTGGTCACGACGAAGGTCGCTGTTCTCGTCCACGTTGTACACCTCAGCACCCATGGACTCGGAGATCTTGCGAATCTTGGCCAGGATCTCCTTGCCGTGGGCGAAGATGACGAACACGTTCTTGTTGATCTCCTCGTTGTTGGTGGGGTCGACGAGCGGCTCGGGGATCTCAGACTGGTTCATGTACAAGTTTCCGCGCAGCGTTCTCCAGAGAATGCGTTCGAAGGAGGCAACACGGTCCCTATTGATAACACCGGCCACGAAGCCAATGTTCATGCCAGAGAAGGACCGCTCGACCTCAGGGGCCGAGTTGTGCTGCTCGACATCCTGGAGGAGAGGAGCGTCATCGTTATCGGTGGAGGCGCGAATTTCCTCGACGCTGCCGTGGGCTCTGTCAAAGAAGCCGCCAGCCTCGCGGAGAACCCAGCGCCACTCGGTGAGCTCGACTTCGCGCTTCTTCAAGGTCTCGTAGCTGTCGTTAAGCTGGAAGACGCGTTGCTCGAGGCTCTGGCTCCGCTCGGCGAGTTCGTCAATCTCGGAGGTCGATGGGTTGGCAAGTCTTTCGGCATCGACGTCGAACTTTCTGAGAGGGATTCCTGCCTTCTCCATCTGGGCGTAGAAGTAGCCTGCCTCGATGTTAGTCTATCCCAACCCGAGGGTTCGTGATGCGCGGTTGGGGGAATGATGACGTACGCAGCTGGCGTTCGACATTGTCGAGTCTTCGAATCTCCTGAGTAAAGGTGCGCTGGAAAGCACTGACATCGCCATTGAGCTAAATAGATTACGGTCGGTTAGCTTCGATATTCATGTCGACCTCGATAGTTTCCAGGAAGGGAGTTGCCGACGTACATCACGGAACTGGAGAAGACCAAGCTCTCCAAGGGCTGTGACAACCTCGCGACCGATTTCATTCGAAATGTACAGCTGCACCATACTCATGTTCGCCGAGCGAAACATGGTATCCTGTGCCGGCGCCATCTTGATGTATGGCGGGAGCTCCGAACCGTTCGATGGGGGTTGTTGATCAAGCTTGTCGATGCAGGTACTAAACACAGAGCTGCCAAGTTGATGTCGTTGCCTCCCGGACGAATACACGATGGGGCTGAGCACGGTCCACGGCTGGTGGTTAATCCGAGAAATGGGTCTGTCTCTCAACCTCGTAGTGTGGCGCGACCTGAAAATAGGCTGTGGCGGTGCACCTTCGCAGCAGATATTTTTTTGCGAAATATCCACAGCAAACGCTTCCAACCTTCCCTCCTCTTCATTCACATCAAGCTCAAAGTACGAGATACAGCAAGCGATACCTGCAATTACAGGTTGTTTTCCCTCGGGAAATCGCTCTGCCACTCGAATGCTTCAGATGGCAACATATTATGGGATTCAGAGTTGCTATTGCCAGTAGCTTTGTTTCATGAGCTCCAATTTGCTACTACCAGACTAACCAACAGCTCTGTCTTTTGCAAGACAAGGAGATCAATCCTACGTGACGATGGCGCTTTCGAAGCTTTGTTGGCCGTCCGCAAGGACTCAAATGGTCACCAAAGTCAATATGACGCCTAGAGCAAACCCCAAATGCCCTGCCAAGGGTTATTCTTGATCGTGTTACAAAGTCTTAGCCTTGCAATTAAGAACTTTGCGTCAAATTTAGACGAGATACATTCTATGAAAATTTTCTTCTTTTATGATATGCACAAGCACGCGGCCGTGACCCTTAAACTGGCTACAGCGTCTGCATGACTTGCTAAGAGTGCCGCAATTTTCCTCTGCCTGCTTAATTGCATCGTCTCTGGTATTTTGGTCCCCCTGTCAAATTTCGAGATGATGCCGGTGACAAAAGCAAAGGCTTCCAGCGTCACAATGTTGGAACCACTCCTTATGAGCCAAAGACATTTACTTTATTTAATATGTGCTTGCCTAAGGTCCTCGCCACGGCGGCACAGTCGCCTAGCCGCATTACAACTCCTTCTTCTCCGTCTCAGACGAATCAGCCGCGGTCTTGGGCGCCGCCGTCTTACCTGACGCCGCAGGAACCTTGACCGGCTGTCCCTTGCTCTGTTTCGTCGCAAACACGAGTCCCACAACCGAGACAATGAGCTCGGTGAGGAGCGTGACCATGCCCGAACACGCCAGCTGCCACGAAGCGATGCTAACGCTGCCAATCGGGGCCTTGGGGAACGAGAGGATCCATTCGGCGTAGTAGGGGAACCAGCCGTACGGCAGCCAGAACATGGGCTCCTTGGAGAACCAGAAGGGGAGGCCGTATTGAGGGACCTTGGTGAGGGCCCATCTGAAGCCAGTGAGGTAGGTATCGAACTTTGATCTCGATGCTTCCTGGGTTTGCTCTGCGTGTTGGCAAAGTGTACACGTTAGCCATCACGATCTCTACAGCCCGGCATGAAAGCCACATCGTAGCCTTGTGTAACATACTGCTCTTCTCTAGCTGCTCCAGCTGCTTGTCGTGCGTCCGACGGAGCTTGGCCCACTTGGCGAACTCATCCTGACTGCTAGTCGCATTCAGCTCCTTTCGCGTCTTGAGAAAGTCGGCTTGCAGCTTTCGATGCTGCGCGGCTGCCTTGGCGGTCGAGATGGGGAGGTAGTTGAGAGTTGTCCAGAGCTGCTAGGCTGTTAGCAAACGCGGCGATCTTTCCGTGACCGGCAGGGCGCGAAGTCAAAGGGAGGTGAAAGGCAGACTGACCAGATTGTTGATGGCTGCAGCTCCGACGGTGTTGACCAGGTGGGAGAACACCTCCAGCACGAGGATGATGACGAGTAGGGAGGGCATGGTAGACACCCTTTGGTAGATCACAGACTCGCAAGCGGTGGTTCCGGTATCTATCGGCACATGTCTGTGATGTGCGAGGCTGAAAGGTTGTCGATAGGTAGGTGTGTGACAGGGCTCGAGGGTGCCCTTGGGTGGGCGGGAAAACGTGGTCCTATGTCATTGCCCCGCGAATTGCATCTTTAGCGGAGACCTTAGCCACTGTAAGCCACTGGCCGCCGCCTCGTCCAACAGCAAGAACCAATCACCTTCAACTCCCGCGTTTACATTCCATCGGAGCAAGACTTGAACGGCCTCAACGTCTTGACTTACCTACCTAGGTGGTTCTGGGTCCATTCCTGTGGTTCGGCTTGCTACGCAAGAGCTGCCGTTAAAGCGCCAAATCACTTTTGTCGAGCGTGCTTTAGTGAGGCTCACAGACATGCTCAAGGCCAAGACGGTCCCGTTCAACAACCCTTCGATACAGCAATGTCGAGAGCTCTGAACAAGCACATCATAGCTGCCCTACAACAAGGCGACCACGAGAAAATCTTTAACGAAATCTCTGGGCTTTTCGCGCAGCCGCAAGATGATAATCTCCTCGAGATCGAGATTCTAGGCCAGGGCCATCCAATGGGTCCAGACGAGATCTTTCTACGAGACGAGAACGCAGTTGCGATTCCCAAGCTGCGCATCGTCCAAGCCTTTCTCTTCGCCAGACAAATCCTTCAGAAGCACAAAGCCAATGATTCTTCTGCGGTGGGACGAGAGCAGCTGATGGCTGCAACAAGCGTCCTACTTCTAATGGACCCTGAGCACCTCACAGCCGCCAACACCAGAAAGCGTCTTCTTTCCGATGTGATCTCCGCGGGTGACACCGTGAAGGTGAATCTAGCACGGGAGAAGTGGTTCGTGGATAGTCTACTCACCAGCCGACTGCATCGACACACAAAGTCACCAACGTTGTGGAACCATCGACGCTGGCTGTCGGAGCGGTACCGTGATGCCGGGCTTCCCGTCGTGGTCCAACAGGATGTCGAGACGGTTGTCATGATGGCTGGAGAACGACATCCTCGTAACTATTATGCATGGACTCATGCCCGGTGGTTGACAAAGACGTTTCTGGCCGTTTCCGAGCTCGACGTGCTTGTGTCCCTGATTCAGAGTGTTAAGAAGTGGTCCTTCAGACACCATTCAGATATTTCTGGCTGGTCCTTCCTCGCGCATTTGGTTGATAGGCTAGGGAAGGATGACATAGGGACAGTTTCGTTGGTCTATAATGAGACTTTGGGTTTGGCGGAATCTCTCCGGTGGTGCAATGAGTCAGTCTGGTGGTTTCTACGCACCATAGCATCTCGGCCAATATTGGGACAAATCGATAGAGATAGGTTTGTGAGTGTTCAAGAGCGGCTGGCAGCAACCAGCACCGACGACTCTCTCGAAGCCGCAGTACTGAGGATGGCACGGACATGGTGGGATATGTACGGTCAAATGGCTAGACAGTCTGTATAGAAGTCAAGTAAAAGTGATGTTGGTGAAATAGAGGAGGAGGAGAACCGACGAAACCCCGGTACCAGTGCTGATTACACAAGTACAATTTTAGACTTCCGGAAGAACCATACATCATGCTCATTTCTTGGATTCAATGAGCTTCCAGGGTGAGCCTTGAACATTTCTCTCATAACGGTTCTTGACGTTTGTTGCTTTATTTTATGGGTAAGGAAAAAAATGGCGGCATTGCGCTTAGCGTAGAGCATAGAGCACCGCAGATGAACTACTGAGAAGAATCATGCCTGGTTTCTTCATAGTCGGAAATAATTGCACTCATTAACGTTACCTTAGTTGGCAATCCTCCAAGGGATCAACAAGATCATAAAGCTCCGGCCTTCCAAGTTACAAATCATATTAGTGCAATGCATCTTGGAATTGGGAGCATTCTTGGAGCAACGAATCGTCCAACAGCCGAAAGCCACGCTGATCTGATCGAGACTTGGTGATTCGCGGCTGAAACTCTTCGCGGCCGCGACCCCTGTCCATCACATCCACATTCGGAAGCCCCTGTCCGCCTGCCACATCCGCATTAGCAGCTCATTGAAGAAGATGTGGACGATGGCTGAGATGGCGGCAACTAATTCGCTGTGAAATGTTGACAGGGACGCCTCTTACATATGCAACATCATCGGATACAGAACGTGGACTTCACCATCGATCGTGATGATGCACATCGTCTTAAACAATGATTAAACGATCACTTGCAAACAGTGTTAGCAAACGTCTGTACGATTTGGCGCCCGCGCATCATGTTGCCTTGTTATTACCTGTCGCGAACCGGCTGTGCTAATGCTCGTGCAGCGCTGCAATCGGGTCAAGAAGCCGCCAGCCAAAGGCCTCACTACGGGAGAAGACTGAGTATTGACGCGCCTGTTGATTGAATTCCATGCTGTTGTGGGAGGGGTTCTAGGCGCTGTAGGCGGTAGAGTCTGTAATTGCCTTCTTTCATTCTCGAGGACTGTCAGTCGACTTAAAGGGAAGAAGCTCTGACCAGTAACGACAGGGCCGGGTAATTAGTTTGAGTGTAAAGCTCAGGTGGCTCGAGGCAAATTGAACCCTGGAGTAGCCCGGGGTCCTTGACGGCGATGATTTCCGCCGCGAATTGAGTATCTGCCGCATGCATCTCTTCTTTGATCTCATCCAGTCCATTGATTGATCATTTACTGGACCACGGTTGGATGTTGGTCCAGACTCTAGGAGCTCTCAAAAGCTGCTGGGGGTCCTAGAGGTAAGGGCCAAAACGGCTAGAGAGGCTCCGGGTTGAAAATGAGTGTTGGAAGACGCCCGTGGAATGACCGAGGTAGCCAGTCGTGCCATTCTACACAGGAGGCGAACACAGAGCAGCAAGCTATCAGCACTGGAGATACGTAAGATTGCGGTGCACTGCAACTTGGGAGCTCCATCCAACATGGGCTTCGAGCGTGGACCATCTCAGTTCGAGTACGGACTATGGAATATGTCCACGGTCCTGAGCATGGAAGATCGGATATCCAAATAACATGAGGAGCACGAGCCAGCCCCAGCGCCCGTCAGTCCGTTTGACGGTTTGATTGACGTGGATGCGCGGTCGAGCAAGTACCGTGCTCGAGTCCGGCGACAGACGCACGTTCCCGGCCGAAGAAATGGTCTCGACACAGCGCTGGTAGTCGCATGCAGTCGTCATGGAGCTTTTGACAAAAGAAACGGGAGCTGTGGCTTGGTTGGTTGACCAACTTCCAAGTCCATGGACAAGAAGTGAGCGAGAAGCGGGCGAGATTCGGGAGAGCGTCGACAGTGAGACAAGAAGCAAAGATGCCGTGTCGGATGGTGGTGGTGATTGGTAGACAGGTGGATGGGTGACGGGCCAATGTCCATCACATTTGGACTCATTGAATTGGTCCCAAAAGGGCCGGTAGCCACCTTTGGTGCAAGGGAACAGCCTGGAGAGAAGCTGGAGAAGATGGCCCGAAGCAGCAGCGAGGCGACATTGGAAGTGGAGATGGCTGAGGTGCCCCTTGTTTTCGAGGCGCCAATGCCGCTAAGGCAGGTTAAGCGTCTTTTCTTCGGTGGCTGCGGCTAGTAATTGCCTGTTGGACTTTCGTATCCCACCACACACGGTAACGGTCGACGGCCGAGGCCACCGTGACGAGCGAAAGGCATTTTACCACGAGGTAGTGGCTTGCTGAGGTGGAGATGGGACGCGATGCCAAATGCAAACGGCGAAGCGATTGAGTTGGCGGTAGTTTTGCTCCGCCTGGTGTTGACTTGAGACCGATCCAGACGGCGAGTCAAGATATAAGGCGAAGGAATTTGAGACAGAAGACAATGACGCCGCGAGGCCTCGAATAATGGAAGAATCAAGAACGACAGCCGCATGCGTCGGCAGACGCCAGAGAAGTCACGGACGGGGTGGGATTCCGGCAGGATAAGGGACCGACCAAGCCAAGGCACTTGGCATGGGCACATGGGCTGGCGGTCCCTAGGAGCAACAAGCAACAAGCAGCCTGGCAAAGAAGCTCTGATTGACAGCAGCGCCCCTGAGATTAGAGACTGGAGACTGAGAAGCGCAGACCCGAAAGAGAAAAGAATCGACAGCTGGGGGTCGAGGACGCGTGAAGCAGGGGGTCAATCAATGTCGCATGTTGACCTGAATGGACGGTCGAATTGGCCAATGGATTGCCCATCGTTCATCCCATGAGCGCACAAGGAAGAGACTTTGTTTCTCGGTTGATGTTAAGACTCAATACTCCGTAGAGAAAGGCAATAAGGTGTCGCGGTGTGTTTCCCTCGTTTCTCGGCTCTTTCCTTTTCGTTTTGCTAGGTATTTCCTGCCACTTTTCTCTCTGGAGAACAGCGAGCTGCATGACGCCACGGACCATGTGGTCTCCACACAAAGCATGACCCAATCGCCCATTGGAAGGTAGGTACGGAGGAAGGATAGGTGCAAGCGTAAGGTACCCAGGTACTTGCAAGTCAGGGGTGGCCTCGACCGTGGCATGGCTTTCCTTGGTAAGACATGAACAGAAAGAAAGAAAGAGGAAGGAGCAAGAGAGAAACTGGCAGGCCGCGGCTGACAGGAAAGACGGAACGACGCGGCAGAAAGAATTCAAGTCCCGAAAATGGAAGAAGGAGGTGCGCGAGAAACGACGCAGCCCAGAACATATGCCAGAAACAACTGACAAGTTTGACCCAATGGCAATCCAAAGGCAATGAACAACCAACCGATGGCAACCACAGTCCACAATCAAGCCAGAAACGCCGCCCCCCCCCCCCCCCCCCCCCCCCCCCCCCACCTCCCCCTCCCTCCACCGCCCTTTCTTCCCCCTCTCTCATCCCCCCCTACTACACCCACCACCTCGCCCCTGTGTTGATTTGATTGGCTTGTGCCCCACCGCCCCCCCCCCCCCCCCCCCCCCTGTGCAATTGCATGCATGTGTGCAGATCTGACTAGCTGCTGTCCATCCCAACTACCTCGAGTCTAGAGCCATCCACTT